TCGGCTTCTGAAGAACAGAACCCCACACAGTAACAATACATGCAGTGCACAACTGAGGGAAGAAGCATGGTGTTTCTAGAATGTTCTTGAACCCTTCTATAGGAGAGCATGGAGCTTCAGTGCGTTTCGCAGAAGAGAGAAAAAATCCACTGAAGCTGTCTGAATAATTTAGTAATTACAGTTAACTACTGCACCTGAGGAGCAGTCTTCTTTATGCAGCAGCTAATAGTTTGACAGAATGTGGAGGTTAAATTCACCCAAGCATGTGAGATTTTTGAATTCAAGAAAACCACCATTTTGACCAGTTTCTAACAATGATTAATATTTATTCTATCCATCAGGAGGAGCTGAGGGTGGAGCCTAGCATGTTTATTCTTGCATTTATTATGCAGTAATCAGTCTCTGTCTTTGACTAGGTAATGTTATAAAGTCTATGTTTTGTGCTATATCTCAAGGCCTGTGCCAATTAAAACTGTTAGTTCATTATTCTCTGGAATGCTACAGTGTTGCTATATTTTTGCCATATGTTTTGTCTTCTTCTCTTTTAAATGTTTTCTTGCACTGAGAGCACTTCAGTAATTGGATACCAGTTGTACACTTTTTTGTGTGTCCTGCACATTTGTTGACCTCTGGGCCTACTGCCAGGTTACGGTGGGTATCAAGAGAATCAAAATTCCTAAAACAAATTAGCCTACATCTATACATTATGCTTTAGGTTAGTATCCTATAGCTGCTTCAGATCTAAAGTATATAGTAGCTGCTAGTTGGGATTTAGGACTTATGTATTCAGCCTTTGCTGAAGCTGCCAAGATTTAAAAGACATGGAGAAGGGCTATAACATACACGGAACATCAGTTATTTCTGAAACCGGCTTAACATTGTTGTTAGACACTGAGGACCCAGCACTGTAATTCCAATCTTTGATAGTTGAGTAAAACCTAAGGCCTCATTGTATAACAATTTTTTTTACTTCTATAAAAGGACCAAGGGGAAAGATGGTATTTCTGGATGCATTCCTCTAAATTACAAACACAGTGTATTTGCAATGAATCAGATGCACTTTCACAATGCACCTTCTCCTCTAGATTTCCTACCCAAATGTACCTCCTGCTATGCAATACCGATAATTATATTTGTACATACATATTCAGTCTACAAACTACACATCACAATTATCTTGTGTTCTATTTAATTTGACTGAGCTGGTTTGGTTGTTAAACCCCCTTTTCAAAATAAAATCTATACTTCAATCCTGGTTTGACAATAAAAGAACCTTCTTTAGTATTGTTGGAGCAGAAATGCCAAATAGTCAAAGGTCCTGCGCTGATCCAAATCCATCAAATAGATTGAAAACATAAGATCTGGAAACAAGAGAGAGTCACTGTTTAAGCATTTGTTAGAATGCTAGAATTCTCCTTTGAATTGGGTGAATTGGATATGCACTACCAGAACCCTTACGGGAGAAATGGCACCTTCCACAGCATCACAAAAGCACAGGATAAATGTGCAGATGTTTGGAGATGTTTTGGTAGGATTTTTGCTTATCAGTCTGTAGAGCATAGTGAAGACATAAAAAAACTGGGTGATTATTCTTGCTAAGAAAGGGTGTATCCTTTAATGCATTTCATAACTGAAAGCCATCAACTTCAAGTTGATTTACAGCATTTTTTAAAACAAACTCTTCACAAGAAACTACATTTCACCTGCCAAGTGTTGGGGACTAATATGGTATGAGTCCGTATGGTACCATAGCTTGCCGGAGCTTGACAGGAGTTATAAAACCATGTTTTGGCTGGAAATGCTTGCAGCTTTGGTGGGAGGTGCAAATCGTATTTAGGCATGAACTGTACGCAATACACAACCCCCAAAAAGTCCCCCCAAAAATGTGCAAGATTTATAACAACAGGATCCTTCACAATTGTGGAATGAATATGACCCTGGAACATCTGAGAGAAGATTTGATTAAGAGATTCAAAGTCCTGGGAGGCTGGTCATATCGGCTGAAGTCAGACTTCAAGAGCTACAGCACAGATTTGGGGAGTGTGAGGTCACTTGAATCCTTGGGAAAACAATCTCAGACAATTTTTTAGACCAAGTAAAAACCAAAGAAGCAAGGAAGAGTGCAGAAATCACTGTCCTTTGTAACCCCTTCTTAATGTACTACTGACATTTATTAATGAATATAATGGAATGAAATGGACATGGAATGGAGGCATACTAAGCTAAAAGCAATCCTTCACCTTTTCCTTTTGCAAAACGTTTTGCAAAAAAAAAGACTGGAGCTCAATCAAAATGGTTTACGTTTTCAAATCTAAATGAATCCATGCATAATTCAAACACCAGGTGTTTCTCATGGAGCTGAACTGACCTTTATACCTAGCAAATGATGGATAAGTTTTACAATGAGAGGTTAATCATTTTTTAACCTATGAAATGCAATAATTCTGCTTCTATTTAATGATCAGTACAGAGAACAGGTCAAGAGGCTATAACTTGCAAGTGAATGGAGTGGAACCAGAACACAGTGGATATGCTGTGCTTTGGAGGTAAATCTGCTTTCACCATTATGTGTCATATTATACAAAATTCAACGCTACTCTGTACTGTAAAGGAAAAAGAAGGTAAATATGGGATGTGTGAAATCCAGTTAACACAACTGTGCTATAACATGCAATAACTGCAATTCATTTTAGACATCATGTTGCATCTGCACACCTTCATAGATAAGTACAGTATGTTTTCTATGAGATGTAACAAATATTTGAGAAAGTTCTCCACAGGATTTTAGTACAAGCATTCACTCACAAATCTCTAAGGCCTAATGGTATCCCATCAACTGTCCTTAAGAATAAAGAAGTTATTCATAATCCACTGACATTACACTTTCAGCAGATGCTCAAAACAAGGGTAGTACCCAAGGACCAGAGAATTGCTAATACAGTGCTTATTGATTAAAAGGGTGACAAAACGGAATCAAATAACTAAAGACCAGTAAGTCAGACTTCTATTACATGATTATGGTTATCATACAGCAGGATGACCTACATGGAAAGAGGACCTATGGTTAGTCAACATGGATTTAGAAAAGGCAAGTCTTGCTTAAATAACTTGTCAGAGTTGTTTGAGCAAGCAACAACCCTAATGGTTATGCACAGAACATATAATATGATGTATGTAGATCTTCAAAAAGCTTTTGATAAAGTTCCCCCTAAAATATTAATTCTCAAATTATAGGTGTTAAGCATTCAGAGTAAAGTGGTTTGTTTGTTTTTGTACTGGGAACTGATCAACGGAGAGAAAACAGTACTGATACAGTATGACTCTTCAATTTGGGGTGATTTAATAAGTTGGGTACCACATGGATTTGTACTAGGATCACTGCTCTAATTGATATCAATGACCTAGAATCTGGTATACTTTGGAATCTAGTCAAATATGCAGACAATACCAAAACATTATTGATAAACAGGATTAGCAAACTGTACAAGTAGTAAATTAATTTCAAACAGATTTATATAAAATTCAAGAGTGATGGCAGGGCAAGATGTTTAGTGTAGACAGGTGCTGAGTATTACATGCAGGCATCAAACATAATCAAATAATGAGGAACTGAGCTTGATGGGGCTACTCATGATGCTGAGACGCAATTAAAAAGGCAACATATTAGACTACTTAATAGTGTGCACTAGTAATACTGCATTTAGAATTGTGTACAAGTTTGGTCACCAGGTTTCTAGAAAAATATTGCTGCTCTGGAATGAGTCCAGAAAAGAGCAATACATTTCTGGTGTAAAGGAATTTCCTAAACTGACAAGCTAACAGCTAACTTTTTTGTCACTCTATCTTGGCTCACAGCAATAACTCCTGTAGCCATGGAAGCCCAACCAGAAAGTACAGGTAGGGTCCTCTAACTTGCACGCCAATTAATCTTTACCTTTTGAGTGGTGCATACCTCACTGATATCACCACTAGGCTGCAGGAGACACAAGAAGCTGATGGAGCCCTAGTAAATAATGCCATGCCTAGCAGCAGTCAACCAGTTGTGTGTCAACTGGGGCATATTAACTTGTACCTCAGACTATAAATGTGACTTAACTATATAAAACTAACAAAATCTACAAGATGGATCATAACATGTTATAGTCGGTGCATTTTAACCCTCTCACAACCAGCTAGTGATGTCAGCTAAGTCATATGTGCAAAATTTGGATTGTAGATCTCAAACTGTAGTGTGGATCTCATCGTAGTGCTCAATAACTATTGTCTTTACTGGTCAAATTAATTTTTACACAAAATGCTATACAATAAACTGTTCTAGGCAGCACTGTCAATTGTACTTATTTATGAGATTTGCTGTGCGTTTTCTTCTCTGGAAGCTGAAAATGCTGTAGTTAGCAACACTTAAAGCTTAACTGTAGCGATGTGAAGGTTTTAATTTTCTATAACAATTATAAATTGGAACAGTACATTCTGAGAGCATTAGCACCAAGGCATATTATTAAATTTAGAATTAAGAGTTATCAAAGATTTATAATAACTGTTGTATTGTCTTGACAAGGCAGATGAATGTGGCTAAGACACCCTTTCTCTGTGTAAATGCAGATGAATGTGGCTAAGACACCCTTGTGATAAGAAATGTTATAAAGCTGTGCCTAATGCAGAATCATTCACACTGTTCTTATGGGGAAAAGTCCCCCTTATCATTTTGCTATACAGTATGTCAAGACTTTCTGGTCCCTAATTCCAATGCATGTCTGGGACTGCCTGTACTATACTCTGTGGAGGAAATAATTACACTAGGGGGAAATGGGGGGGCATTTAAGGTTTTACCTCAGCAGAGCACAGTGTATCTAAACTTTTATTTTTAACATTACTGGATGTAAATCAAGATATAACAAAAAATATGACTGACCAAGGGAAACACATGGAACGTAATCTACTAGGATCTAAAAGCACATTGCAGTTTTTTTTGCCGTTTGAAAGAAAAGAACACTTCAGGCTTAGATTTTAAACTAACCCAAGAGCTTTTAATATTCTCTTAGTATAAGAAGAGGAACACCACAAGATGAGACGATCTCATATCAGACAGCTGTACTGCACTGGTTAAAGTACCAGCCTCATGGATTCCTCTCTGTAAGCTGCCAGTCCTCACGGTGACCCCACTTTCTGCAGGGCCCTCACGTCAAAAGGAAGAACGCCAATCCCGATCCTGCCCTGAGGCAAAACCTGCTGCTCCAGCCGTCCCCAGCACACGAAAGCAACAACGCAGCAGTCCCTGTGTCCACTACGGGCCCTTCTTGTGCCTGGCGTCCTGCAGGGCGTGCTGCTGTTGCTGGTACTCCCGGGAATCCTCCCAAGGCCTCGGGCCCCTGATGTTCTGCCACTCATCCATGTTGACGCTCCTCAGCCTCTGTTTGCCACAAAACCCAACAAAAGTCCATTAGCTCTAAAGGTGAAATGGCTACCCTATGCACAAATGTTTAAAAATAAACAGTTACAAGTCATTTCCTGTGGGTTTTGTTATGTCAAGTCATACTTTTACAAACTACTGCAATTCTGAATGATGTATAAATCCCTATGAATACCTCTGTCTCATGAAGAATTTAACTGCACCCGTTACTTCCATGTTCCATGGAACAATGAAGTTGTGATGTTGAGCATCTGTTACAAATGACGATCTTCATTGTAGATCTTGCTATAGATGTGTAATGATTAGAAAATATTAAAAATTAAATGAACAAGTAATAGGTTTATTCTATGCTGAAAAGAGAAGAAAGAAAACGCAACGTTTCGGCCGTGGAGCCTTCTTCAGGTGTGACACCCGAAGAAGGCTCGACAGCTGAAACGTTTTTTTCTTTCTTCTCTTTTCAGCATGGAATAAACCTATTACTTGTTCCTTTGCAGCCTACGCATGCTGATGCAACTACCCACCTGAATTAATAATTAAATTAGTATTAGCTGCAAATTAGACCTTTAATTCCTGGTCATGTTACCAAAAACTAAAACCCTCACACCACCAACGTCAATGGTGTATCCGCAATGGCTGTACATTGAGACAATTAAGAAAAGTGTGCAGTTTTTCCATTTCAATATGCTGCTTCTTTTTGTAAATCTGTGGTCTTTTTACTATGTGACATACCACAATCAGTTTTTGAAGTTCCTGCTGTTCTGGGAGACCTGTATACTTCAGTCCGTGACTATAACAGCTGAAAGCATAAAAATGTGTTTTTTTTGCCCTTGATCGTTAGATAGGGATTCATCAGTTCCACATCAGATTATTTTTAGGGTAAAAGTAACTGTCCCATGAGCGCACAATTGCACCAAACCCATTACCATAGAAGAGTTGCATCAAAGGCTGCCTCATGTCATAATAGCAGCTTCCTCAAATGAAGACTGTGTATTCTACCAATTTCCCTTTTTTGCTTTCAACAATTTCAAGAAAAAAAAATGTGCAGACATAGAGAGGAAGAGAGAGGGGGCTTTTAGACCATATCTAGGTACAATTAGAACCTCCCCTAACCTCCATTAGGGGATCTACAATTTAATTTTGTGCTAAAATAATCTTTCATTTGCCAGTAATTCTAGTTCTAAACACTCTAAAGGTCAAACTATGTAGTTGTAAATGTGTATTTAAATTTTACTACTCCCTTTGCACAAATGATAAACTTATTGTGGGTGTTACTAATGCTTTAAAAATAATTCTGTTCATAAAGAAATGAGAGTAGTTTACAGAAGTAACATTTCAGCTCTAAATCCATGCCATACAGGTGGTAAAAACAATCAGCCTACTTTAAACAATGGCAGAAAGAACAAATAAAACACAATGTACTGTGGGATTAAGAAAAAATGTAACTCTTTGGAGTTAATGATTGACTACCATGTGCTTCCAGTATTATTCTGTGACTCAGATGTTGTGTTCATGGATCAGACCCTAATTCACCATCTCTGTGAGGCTCCATCACAATTTAGATTCCTGTATTTGCTAGAACATGAAGCCCTAGTTATTGATGCAAAGCTGCAACTCCAGTCCAGCGGGGCCCTTAACCTGGCCATTTTGTGCAATGCAGCCAATAACTGACATTTCCTGACATTTATATAACTCAGTCAATTTTTAAGATATGGAACATTTATTTGTTTATTTTGTAAAGGCCAGTTCCGTTTAAAGACTCTCGAGTATGAGATGTCCCTATAGACTCGGGCATTATTGTACAACAGACTGCCGCATACCGAGACTGACTGATTTCCTAGTTCTTGGTGACATGGACCTCTGTGCCCCTAGAATGGGGTAAACCAGTTGGGAATTGTGGTGTGTTGTTTCCTCGTCTCTCTTGACCTCAACCAAGCTAATTTGCCATTTCCATTCCTTGTTTTTGGCCCTTGCGGTACAGCTTTCAGTGTAGTGTAGTCTTGTGTAGTGTAGTCTTCACCAGCTGCTCCACTGCTTTTTGGAATCTAAGTTCCTCCAGCTCCTATTCCAGCACAGCCACTTGCCATATCATTTACTAGAACACTCAAATTACAATACTGGATTCCATGACAAAGTTGCCTCCGGAGTTTCTGAGGGTTGTGACCATAATCTTATTCACAGCCATAAATAATTAACCAGTCACTTTTTGTAATCCTACTACCTAACCAGTCTCTGTCCCAGTCCAACAAGTCTCTTATACCCAACAAGTCTCTATGCCAGTGCAGGTCAGCTCTGTAACAAAATCTGATCCAGATTCTCTGGAAACAAAGGTTTCACTCACCTCGCCTTAAAAGAGAACAGGGTTATTTTTATAAGTTATTTTTTAGCAGGAGCTAAAATGAGTTCACTCTCTAAGCCCCAACCCAGAACCAGCCATCGACCTGGGATATGAGTGTAGGAAAGGCAAATGATGATAAAAGAAAGAAAAATGAATCAAGAGCAGACATAACTCCATAATGGCATTCAGCAATAAAATCAGGTATTTAAATGGGTCTTACACCTATAATATTGCTTTTCAGGATTCATTGCAAAACGGGGAAAAAAAAAACGTACCTCGTACTCATTCTCCAAAGTCACTGGATTCTTCTGTGCTTTGATTCTGGCTTCCAGTTCTGGGTCCAGCTATGGAAAGAGGGTAGAAAAAAATTACTTTGGTACCACATCACACAGAACAAAGGCAACAAATAACATCACTTTGCGAACCATAACACAGAGAATAAAGGCAATCACACCCTATATATCTGTAAAGGAATCTCCGATGTTTTGTGTCCAAGGTTTACTTTTGTTTGTCTCAATTCAGTCTATCCATATCTTCACACAAAATGCCTGATGAGCTGCCATTTCCCAAGAAAGCCCAAAACCTAAGGACTAGCTGAAGCGAATAAAGGACCTGAAAGAAATAATATCACAATCATTTTGGTCTGATCTAAATTTGGAATTGGGAATTATTTTTTGTATACTGACCCAACTGTATATGGCTTTGCTTTAAGGGTGCAATTCCTGTACACTGAAAAGTTCTCTGACATAACCACATAAAAGGCTGAAATCACCAACTGGTCATATCTCAGCTCATGACTACAAACACTTTGAGGGGAATGAGGAAGTGTAGGCAGACTCCGACTTTCCTACATTTCAGCCACCTGTCTTTTAAAATGTCACAACACAGCCTTGTACTGGAGGTTCAACAACTGGAGGAGAAGACGCGTCTCACTAACGGAACCACAAGCCAGCAAGCACCCTTGGAGGCCATAGGAGTCACTGCAGCCCTGAAAGCTGAGCAAAAGTACTGTCCGTCTAAACCCACTCTGCCCTTCATGGTTCTCAGCTAGTCGTTTGGGGAAGTGACACGACTCAGGCTCGAACCTGCAATCGCGGAGCTCACCCTGCGCTTGAGTGAGTGTCTTTACCGCTTGATTCACGCTCATTGGTGTCACTGAAAGCCAGCCAGCACCTGAGTAGCAACAGGAGTTGCTGTTTTCTGGAAACATGAGACAATCCTTGCAGTTGTGTACCTCCATTTGGGCAATCCCAGTGACAACTGGTTGATATCATGGTCAGACTCCAATTGGAGAACTTGGTAACACAGGAGACCCATTGATTTTTTTGTTTTGGCGACATCAACCATTGCAAATATTTCCTGATATTTCTAGTGTTGAGGGAAGTAACCTAGTATTAACTGTAATCTATGTTTAGGGTCAGTGCTGTAGCACCTGCAGTTGCTCATCAGTAAAACAGACAATTATTCTCAGACTGCTGCCTTTGTAAGCTAAAGCTAAGAAAGTTGCTGTTTTGCAGGCTAAGTACCGCATGCAAACAGCCATTAAGAAAAACACTGTCCTCTGTTTATTAATTGGGCTACATTGAAACGTCTGAATAGCAGCATCCTATAATTTTATTCAAATTTCAGGTGAATCATGCCATGGTGTGTGCCACAAAAGGAGCTCTAATTAACACTTGCTACAATTCCCCATTTCTACTTCTCACTCACTGCTTGTGTTATCTATTTAAAAAAAAACTATTGCTGAAAAAAAATTCAGAACGTTGGAATCGGAAAACACTGCGTTAGGTCAAAAGCATGATCAGCGCAATGGTATTATCCTACATGATTACCCACGTATCAGATGAAAATAATATTTCATGCAGATTTCTTGTTGATGAGAAAGATATATAACTGATGAGAAAAAAAAACTTCCTAACCCTAGGCGGTGACTGAACATTTACCCGTTGCAAATGCAGGGGAACAATTCTGTTTCTCCTTTTTAGAATAATTGGACTGCATTATTTAAAAATAGAGGAGACCTTTTTCATCATTCTGGATATTTTAATGAGTATACCAGGTTCATCTGTAATGGACACAATTCAACTGCTAGCCCATATTATGGATACAACGATACAACCTCCAGAAAATTGAACTTTGAAAGAAAAACGACACAAAGTGTTAGCTTCATTGCAAGTTTAGAATGTCCTACAAAAGAACCTTACATTACACATGCTCTGCAAACAAGGCGGCATGGCGGGCCTTAGTTTCAATCCCTGGGGTGCTATCTGTGTGGAGTTTGTATGTTATCACATGGATTTCCTCCTGCTGCTGCTCCAGTTTCCTCCTAAAATCCAAAGACATACTGGTAGATCAATTTGCCAATAGGATTACTGGCTTTGGGGTCTGTCTATGCAATGGACTGGCATCTCATACGGCAGTATGTATCTATGGATATGTCTGACACAGCTCAACTTGTCGTGTTCGTTCACATGGCTTTTATGGATGCCACTATTAAGGAGGACTTTCTCATTCTTCTGCCTTTGAAAGAGAGAACAAGAAGTGAGGACATATACTGTTAATTCGAAACATACACACTTGAGAAAAATATCCCACTTCAGAAACTAGTGTCAACCACAACAGACGGGGCACCGGCAATGTATGGTCTGCATGCTGGTTTCATTTGTAGGAAAGATCCCATTTTCCCCTCTTTTGTCAATTATCACTGTGTCATTCATCAGTGGTGCTAGCCAGCAAAGTACTGGATTTCTCACATGTGATGACTGTCGTAGTTAAAATGATAAAGTTCGATTCGCGCAAAAGCTCTTCAGCACCGCCTGTTTAAGTCATTACTTGATGAGATTGACGCTGAATATGGAGATGTGATTATACATGCTGACATGTGCCGGTTAAGTCATGGGCAGGTGCTCCAGGGGTTCATTGATTTGCTGCCGGAGATGATGACTTTTCTGAAGTCAAGAAATGAAGAATACAGGGAGTTGTCAGATAACACATGGCTGCTCGAGTGGGGATTTCTAACAGACTTAACTTCCAAACTGAATAAGCTGAATTGTGAATTGCAAGGAAAGGATAGAGACGTGTTACATATGATCAGTGCTGTGAATGCCTTCAAAGTGAAACTTGCACTGTGGACATCCCAGTTAAACAGCAGGAATGTATCTCACTTCCAGAAATCGGCCAACATGCTGAGCAACATCTCAAAGACTCGTTCCATCCTAAAGAATTCTGTGTCCACCTGGACAGACTGGCAGAGGAGTTTAATAGGTGGTTTCAGGAGCTAAACCAGATACAAGACATTGTCACGTCCATCTCAAACCCCTTTCATGCCACTGAGATTGAGGATCTATTAGCAAAATTTCAACATTTTGTCAAGTGGAGTTGACATGGAAATAATTGATCTGCAAAATGATGAAAGCCAGGTCAAGAGACAAGGACTCTTGGGGGATTGTGAATAGTGAGAGTTATCCACTCCTTTAATCGTGTGCGCTTAAGGTGAAGGCCTTCTTTGGATCCACATATCTTTGTGAGATGGCGTTTTCACATATGAAAACCAAGTATCGCACTTGCCTAACAGATGATCACCTGACCGACTGCATTAGACTTGCCGTCTCAAACTATACTCCGGACTACACAGCACTTGCAGATAGTGTGCAGCCACAGGCATCTCACTGACTGTTAGTGCCATGATGTTCAGCACTTTGCAGCACCTTAATGAAGTAAGTAAACAGTGATATTTCGTGTAATTGTAGCTTTAGGTGGGAATAAGCTAAATGCACATCTATTCTGCACAGCTTGGTACGGCATTTATGATGGTAGATCTTTGATTTGTTTTGATTTCAAAAGGTGATCTTAAACCTAAAAAGGTTTGTGACCACAGTCATACAGGGTGCATCCTGCCTCGCACCCATTGCTTACCAGTATATGCTCTGGCTCTCCCATGACCCATACTGGCTAAAGCAGTTAGAAAATGGATGGGCTCACGCCAGCTTCTCCTAGTGAGACTAATAGCCCTTTAGCCGTGTTTGGAATTCAGTGAGACAAGAATAGAATCTGAAAACCTGGGACAAGATAGAACTCAATACTTTTAAAAGGGAAGTATAATTAAACTTGCATTATGGAAATATCAAACACTTAACAGATAACTAACAACTACACAAAAAAAGTATCCTTGGTTACAAGAAAAACAATCTAATTGCAAACGGCTGATTTCTAAAAACCTTAGTGAAATCACAAATAGACTTTTTGTTTAGACACTGAGAAGCTGGTCGCCACAGCTGCCTCATCTTAAAGCAACAGAAATACACATATATTCCTCACAAGAAAGTGCATGTAACTGGGAGATTAAAAGAGTTGAAATGAATCAGCTAGCAATATAATGTTAATATTTGGTGAGGATGGCTGCCGTAAAAAGTCAGGAAAGCATCTGCTGCAGTTTCTTTTGGAAATATGTTCTGATCAATTAATACTATAGTTTATTCTTATCCTTCCTGTCTCAATTGCACTTTAGTAAGATTTATGTTTAATTTTCTATGGCAAACAGAATTTTGTAAAACATGGTAATACTATTCCATGTTCTGTACAGTACAGAGAGAAGAGCATTAAATCTGGAAAAAAATCAACTGCTACTTTTCTTCTCTCAGTTATAACTTACAGCAATGCTGTAAAAAAAGCTTAAATGCTTTCAGTAAAACATTTGAATTCCTGTTCACTAGAACTTAAGTGTCGGGATTTTATTTGAGAAAAAGGATATGACGAGCAATATTTCTAATTTCAAAGTCTTAATGAAAATTACAGAGATGTCAATAGACAATATCAGAAACAAGCACTGGAATTTTCCTCCAAATATAATACATTAATAAGCCCCTGTAAGGAAAGGGGGTCACTAACGTGACTTTTTCAAATGCATCAATATGCAAGGGCTTTACATTCTCCTTAAAAAATCAATAGTTGTTTTCACCTAACCTTAGCACAGGAATTTACAATGTTGCAGTGCTTGAACTGAGCAATTGCAGTGGGTCATCTGTAATTCACCAGTTCAAATTATGAACGGTTGACAATGAAGGTCATCGCAATCAAAATCACCAACTTGCTGCTGGTACCCAAATTTACATAACATCAGAAATTTAAGAAAGGATATTATTGAGGCCTGAAAACAATGTATATATCTATATTTTCCTATCTTAATATTCTTTTATGGAGAGCAAACTGGGGTATGCAAAAAGAAATTCCTAATGCAAGAAATTGTATATGACTAATAAAGTGATCTTATCTTTCCTTAATTTCTAGTCAAGCCTGCAATTTTTTAAATCTAAAAAAAATGGAAACAGTGGGATTTCCTTTTGGC